TATTGTCTGTTTCATGTGCGTAGTGACTGCGTTGCATGTCGTCCGCTTGTTCGCGGTGGCGCGTGGCGTGGGTGCCTGTGCGTGCGTCGCGTTGCAGGCACTGTGCTGTCGTTGACGGTGTAGTTTGGTCTTTGTTCGTTTGCATGCCATTTCGTACATTGTAGCTGGTTCCATGACAACACCAGCCTCGGCACTTCTGTTCATCCGCATTCGGGGTTGCCTGATTATCCGCTGAGCTTATCAACAAAACCTGTGTCTGTGGTACGTAGATGTACTTATACACATGGCTCGTGTATTCTGTCTGTGTGTGTATAGTACGTGGCATTTGGGCGAGGGATGCTGGCACTGCTTCCTACATGCGTACGGGGTCACTCTATCATCCTGTCCCCTGCGCACGCCACCAGTGCCTGGCGCGCTCGTCCTGTGCAGGTCCATTTCCGTGTCTGCCCGCATCTGCATCCCTGGATGCGGTTCATGCTCGGCAGACAGTCCTGGGCCGCAGATTCGCTGAGCCTTCGCCAGAAACTCTACCGAATGAACGATTTTCCTTCGACGGCATCCACCGCTCTACGCCTTCCCTGGTACATGTGCTTGCCAGGCTGTGAACGCGTTAAAGTCCATGAGCGCGTAACTGAGCTGAGGTCCCGAGTGGATGTAGCTAAGGTTGCGGTGAGAAGGAGGGATTTCACGGGGGCTGTGAGCAAAGAGTGTAGCGCGTCTCACAGGTGTTAGATTGTGGGTGCGGAGGGAACGTAAGATGTTTCAGAGAGAGGGAGATGTTGGCTTTGCACTATCATTGAATGGGTTTGACGCGTGCGGTGCTGTGTGCATGCGCTGCATGCGTGCGTGGTATGCTGTATATAATACATACATACATATACGCACGCACATATGCACGCATGCAGGCACGCACGACGCATGCGCACACACACACACAGTGTAATTGAAGACCTAGAGCATACTGTTGTGATAGTGTAATTCTAATAGATGATATTTCAGGATTAGTGGGTTATATTTAGATAATCACTGGTATGGGAAATGCTTCCTGAAACTCCTCGAAAACTTTCTCGGCGGCGTTTTTGCCGTAATTCACGCGAAGTGTTCTTCATGTCCGCAGATGCCTTCACGCGCAACGACACCGCGAGGGCGCTAGTAGACCGCTGGATGGATCACATGCCACATCCGACCCTTGACCCCGTCTCCATCTGGGATGACACAGTCATCAATAGGTGTCTGTACATGGACCATCTATCAAGGTAAGGAGCTACGGGCTAGACAATTATATATAATACGTACATTATGTATGTACAACGTACATATGATAATGCATATACAGCATACAGTACAGTAGAATCTCGATTATCATACCTTCATTCATTTTATCTGACATTCTGTTTTTAGCCGACATTCTATTTTATCTGACATTCTGTTTTAATCGACATTCTATTTTATATGACATAGTCAATTTGCTTTCTATATGTATATTGTACTATGAGAGCATGCATACATTTTTGCCAACAATTTCTGTTCTCGCTCCTCACCCATCGGGATGTTTGTTTACGCAGGCATTTCCATGGCAACCAGCCCGCGGGCAGCGATCCTTTTCTTGAGCAGAAGTTTAATCTATTTCTCGCCTATCAGCAGAGCGCCATGCAGCAGCGCAACCCCCAGGTGGCGCTCAAACACCTCCGCACGACCAATCAGGTGAGTGGTGCTTTGCGCAGGAATGTCGCGCGTGCTCACAGCGATTTTAGACCATTTTGAGAATTTTTATCGCAACTCTAGTAATGCGTCGACTGACATGCAAAATTTGCAGCACTTTGTTACTAGGCATTGTCTTTAAAACATCTTATTTCTGATTAGTTAGAACTGCCTGTCAATCACACCAGATGGATAAGTGTATTTAAAGACATTTTGAATGAGGCTGATGGTGTATGTTAGTGTTTGCCATTGCCGTGGTTACAGCTGTTGAAGAAGCTGGACTCTGATTCGCTGGCGGTGCAGTGGACGCACAGTTACGTGCGCACCTGGCAGCAGATAGCCACGGGTCACCAGCGCGACTCCGCTGACCGCCTTCATAGACTGCTGGACACCATCAAGGAACTAGGTATGCGCGCGTGCGTGTGTGCGTATGTGTGCATGTACGTGTGTGTGCATGCGTGCGTGCGCGTGCGTGCATGTGCATGCGTGTGTCCGCGTGTGTGTGTGTGTGCGCGCATGTGCGTGCACGTGTGAGTAACTATAGATATGGTACATGTCTCTCCTCTCTATAACATTTGAAATCCATTAATATAATCACTGTAGTTATCTAGGACTATGATACATGTCTCTTACGTTACAGTAACACAGTTGTTGTAAACGTCTGTGTATCGAACACAAGTGTCTGTGTCGTACCTGTCTATGCGGCACACGTCTCTATGTAAGAAATCTTGTTCACATTCATTGAGGTTACATCTGTGACTAGCATACATATCATCAGCTGTGTTTGCAGACAAGCACGCTGGTAAGGCAGTGCTGCACCAGCAGCGAGGCTTGGCGAGGGAGAACCTACTGTTGAAGGGTCGCTCTATAGAGGCGGTGGCGCGGGAGGTGCTTACGCGGCCTGCCAGCCTGCATACGCTACCTGCAGCCACACGGGAGAAGCTATCCCTAGTCGCGGGAGCTCGGGAGCACGACCACACCGCGGTAAGTTACAGCTTACGCCGCTCGTTAAGATAACTTTATAGGATTGATGAAGATTTACAGCTTATTTAGGATTTTACAACATGGTTTGTAGCGCGTTTTGAGTAGGTGGGCTGATCGGTGGTAGGCCTCTGTTAAATGAATGGAACTCTAGATATATATATATATATCATAATTACAATTATGTGTGTGTGCGTGCATGCATGCGTGCGTGCGTGCATGTGTGTATGTGTTTGTGTATGTACGTATATATAGATGTGTAAGTGTGACATCGGCATTACTTGCGAATATCATGTGGCTTGCAACAACTCCTTGTGACCCTTTTTCCGTGTCACCAGCTTCCTCCGTGTCACCAGCTGCTTCCTCTGTGTCACCAGCTTCCTCTGTGTCACCAGCTTCCTCCATGTCACCAGCTTCCTCCATATCACCAGCTTACTCCATGTCACCAGCTTACTCCATGTCACCAGCTTCCTCCATATCACCAGCTTCCTCTGTGTCACCAGCTTCCTCCATGTCACCAGCTTCCTCCATATCACCAGCTTCCTCTGTGTCACAAGCTTCCTCCGTGTCATCACCAGCTTCCTCCATGTCACAAGCTTCCTCTGTGTCATCACCAGCTTCCTCCGTGTCACCAGCTTCCTCTGTGTCACCAGCTTCCTCCGTGTCACCAGCTTCCTCTGTGTCAACAGCTTCCTCCGTGTCATCACCAGCTTCCTCCGTGTCACCAGCTTCCTCCATGTCACCAGCTTCCTCCGTGTCAACAGCTTCCTCGTGTGTCACCAGCTTCCTCCCTGTCAACAGCTTGTGTCAGGACTCATCAGCGCTGGCTTCCGGGAGCTCCGGGAAGCCGTTGATGTCGGTGACGAGGAGGAATCGTCAGCATCCCTCGCCTCCTCCCCATCCGCAGCTCACGTCGCGATGGCAAGCTACTGCGACTACTTCCTGCGTGTCCGGGAGGACGGTATGTAGACGCGCGCGGAGACGGCAGAGGTGGCGCCCTCGAGCGTGAATCATTTACGTTTGTCTTTGCTTTACTTTTTAGTAAAAAAAACACCAAATTTTTGATGTTTTTAATGTGGCGATTTCGAATTTGATTTCCAAATACTCTGTTGTGATCTTATTGACTTTTATTCAATTCGAGGCGTGGTTTTCTATATTTCTGTATTACACTATAGTTTAAACGAATGTCTAAGAATATGTAAAAAAAGTGCATGAAATTTCGCAGCTCTGCACGAACATCAGCTTTGACATTTTCGTGTGACAATTGTTACCGTAGATGGCACCACCGTCTTGCCAACCGATGGCTACGCTGAGACAGTGATCACGTCGCTGCTTCGCGCGATGGCGCTGGGGTCGTCCGAGGCAAGAGACAGCTTCCCACGGCTACTGCAGCTAGTGGACCTGTACCCTGACACACTACCCCTGCTCACTAGCAAGGTATGCTGGCAGAGGGCTGCTGAGTAACAAGGTAGCACTGCAGTAAACCAGCATCGTGAGAGGACCAATTCCAATTCATAAATGTTGAATATTTCCCACTGCATGTAACTGAAGACAGTCTCACTGTAAACCTTGATCTTCTTATGCTGACCTTTGAGCTTCTCGTGTCAATTTTTGGTTTTTGTCACACCCATGTTGCAACGATTCAGGTGAGAGCTTGTACTTGGTAGGATGTACATACAGGTCAAGTAAAGGTCATTGTTTATGGACCAATGTCTTATATTATGTAGGCGTTTCACAGTGGATGTTATTTGTGAAATCGGGTGTAAGAGAGCATACTGTTATCTAGAATATACAGGTGATATTACTAGATAAACCAGTGAGTGAACTGACAGGTATAAAGCGACGTGTGTTACATTACTGCTGGCAGAATGATTTTTTCTTTGCGTGTGCCACACAGGTGGAGAGCGTGCCATGCTGGATGTTCATCGGCTGGATCAGTCAGATGGTGGCGTTGCTAGACAAGCGTGAAGCAAGGGCAGTGCAGGGAATCCTGCTCTCCATCGCTGAGTCCTACCCACAGGTAGGCTTGCTCCACCTACATCGCTAGCTCTACCCGTGTAGCCCTTCTCTCTGCATCGGGGCTATACGTAAATGTATAAGGAATGTATAATATAATGAATTTTGAAATAATGACTAATAATGAATGTGATTAATACCTGAAGTTAGATAGCATTTTGTAATGAATAATAGCTGTAATTAGTTTAGAGCTTTGTGGTGATTAATAGCTTATGACTCTCACGGTGTGTTGTCATTGCTGCTTTGCTTCTGCAGGCACTGATCTACCCTCTAAACCTCAGTCGTGAACACTACACGTTTACTGTTGACGCAGCGGGAGCGGAGGCTGAAGCCTACCTACACAGACTGCTGGCTACTCTCTCTACCTGCATGGACATGTCTCAGGTACTCCTCTTCCCCCTTCTCCTCCTCCTTCCCTTCCTCCTCCTCATCTGCCTCTTCCTTCTCCTCCTCCTCTTTCTTCTCCTCCTCTTTTTTCTTAACCTTCTCTTCCTCAACTTCCTTTCCTCAGATCTTCCACCTTCTCTCTCCTTTTTTGCCTGTCTCCTCTCCTTCCTCCCCGTCCTCCCTCCGATCCTACCACTAATGAGGACCACGCCTGTTCTTGTTAGCCGATAGATGGCGCTCCGACCATAACAGCACCTCTGCGCACAGCAGACAGCGTTAGTATGTACAGTGTACCGATAATAAATCATAAATCAATATACCTCATAATAAATCATGGTCTGTTTATGTTGTGTTCCGTTTTGTTCAAAAAGAGGTGGCTTCAAATTCCCTTCTGATGAAAAACTTTGTCGAAAATGGCTTGTTGCAATTAAAAGGGACAAATTCAAACATAAGATAAGCAATGTTGTTTGTGCAGATCACTTCAAAGAGGATGATTTTGAGGGCTCCACATTCCACGGTAACTAACTTCTAATTTTACTTCTAATAACTACTAATTAGGTATATTAACTTCTAATTTTTACTTTCAAATTCAATTCAATTCATATCAAATCATTTTATCAGAGACAGTTGAACTCCTCCAGGTAAAAAAAGCCTAAATATGAATTGTTTATACTAAAAATTGTAGAATTAATAAAGAGAAATAATAAATAATATTAAATATCATTAACTACTTAGTCTCAGTCACTGAGCCAGTGTCAGCCCTTCAGGTTACTAGTATTTTTTCCTTTATAATATTATTTTTGATGTCTCCCCATAAAGTTATTAAAGTCACAACAATATGAATTATGTGATTGATAAAAAAAATTTGAAATATTTTATGGATTTGCTTTATATCTTTTCAGGTACAACCAGAGAGAGGCGGAGGCTGAAGAAGGGTGCAGTGCCATCATCATTTCAGTGGACGAAGCCACAGACCCCCTCTTGCCTAGCGAGGACAGCAAGAGCAAAGGATCGTGATGTCGTTAAGAATCTCGAACCGTCTTTTGATGTTGGGCTGGACCTGATGGAACAGGAGGTTGGATATGATAGTGACGCTGTTGTTCTTCCTGACAGAGAGGACATTGTTACTTCTGCTTGTGACACACAAACACAGACACTTCCTTTGCCAGCAAAGTGGAGCATTGTTGAACTATCAGCTAACAAAAAAATGCTGCACTATTACTCAGGGCTTAATGACTATGAGACATTTTCATTTGCCCTTTCAACTCTAGGCAAAGGTGCATACTGCTTAAACTACAGAGGAACAACCCCAAGAAATATCTCTGCAGAAAATCAGTTCTTATTGACTCTTGTCAAATTACGCCGTCATACGCCGAACCTAGAGCTTGCCTATAACTTTGGTGTTTGTGAAAAGACCGTTTCAAACATATTTGTGACCTGGATTAATTTCATGTACTGTAAGTGGCAAAAACTGAACTTATGGCCAAGCAGGGATTTAGTTAGATTCTACAACCCCACCGATTTTAAGAGGTTGTACCCTTCAACACGAGTCATCCTAGATGGTGTGGAGTTTCCCATCCAGAAGCCAAAAAACCCTAGGGCACAACAAATAACATATTCTACTTACAAGAATAGAAACACACTGAAGTCTGTTCCTGGCATTACTCCTGGGGGACTGGTAAGCTTCATTCCTCCAGCTTTCGGAGGATCAACCAGTGACCGGATGTTCGTTGAAAGAACCCATCTAGTGGACTTATGCGACCCGAAGGATTCCATAATGGTCGATAAGGGATTTGATGTCCAAGATATTTTTGCCACAAGGGATATAACAGTGAACATCCCTACTTTTCTGAAGAAAGGCAATCAATTCAGTGTAGTGGAGCTAACAAAGGACAGGAAAATTGCCTCCAAAAGGGTACACGTGGAGCGTGTAATAGGACTAGCAAAGACATACAAAATATTGTGCACTCCGCTAAACGACATTGAGACTGTGCTTGGTAGTCGCATCCAGTTTGTTTGTTTCATGCTTTGTAACATGCGGCCTTGCATAGTCCCCACAAATGCCTGAATGGGGGCAGTGAATTTTGAGTAATAGATAAAAACAACCATGCACATTTAATCATTTTATTGTGACCGATGAACATTTCATACAGTGCATTACAATTACATTGTAAAGGAGGTTTCAAATACTCTACTGTTCTGGTGATCAGTCTACATGTACATCTATTCTATTTTACTGGCATAGAATAAATAATTTGTTTTGGCAAAAAACCTGTTTTCATAGTTATAAGAATAAGCATTAATCAAATCATAATACAGTCAGGGATAGAATTTAACTTTTAAAACCACTCGCAATTTTTTGCGAGTGGATTAAAAATCTACTCGCAAAACCAGAAATCTACATGCAATTTTTAATTTGACTATTTTAGTGATTGCACGTGGGTTAAGGTCGTCAGGTCCGAGCCCGGAAACCCCGCGGTAGCCAACAGAAACGACAGAGCCTGGTTTACACACAGGACCACTTTATTTCACGACAAACATATATATATATATATATACAACAACAGCATCCACCGCGGTATCGCGCGTAGCGAACCGCGACAGCATCAAGCGCAGTATCCCGCGTTACCTGTGTTACGACGGTAGCAAACCGCGACAGCATCAAGCGCAGTATCCCGCGTTACCCGTGTTACGACGGTAGCAAACCGCGACAGCATCAAGCGCAGTATCACGTGTTACCCGTGTTACGACGGTAGAAAACCGCGACAGCATCAAGCGCAGTATCCCGCGTTACCCGTGTTACGACGGTAGCAAACCGCGACAGCATCAAGCGCCGTATCCCGCGTTACCCGTGTTACGACGGTAGCAAACCGCGACAGCATCAAACACGGTATCTCGCATTACCCGTGCTAGGACGGTAGAAAACCGCGACAGCATCAAGCGCAGTATCCCGCGTTACCCGTGTTACGACGGTAGCAAACCGCGACAGCATCAAACACGGTATCTCGCATTACCCGTG